CTAAGTTACTTAATCAAATCTAAACTTTATTGATCAAAACTACTAAACATAGGTTGATCAGCAAAACAAGTTTTTAAAAACTCTGTGTACTTAATCTAGGGTTTTTGATCACCTGATCAGAAAATTGAAGTCATAGGATAAACAAGCAATAATGACAATTAATGTGGAAAGGAGGACTTCAATGAAGAAAAAATTCTAGGAGGACAGTCAAAGGCAGGATCTCCTTTTTTCAACTTCAACCTTTTGAGCAATCACAAATTATTGCTACTGTTCTTGTATCATTAGACCACTGAATAATAATCTAACAATGTTACTCTCTGACTGGAAGGGGTTTAGAAAGCCATCTAACTCTAGTCAGTTCCTCTGCCCAAGGATGAACCAACACATATATCAACCTGTTTACCTGTTTGAAGATCTCGTCTGAGAAAAAAATTCTAACAATTTGTATTAGAAAAAGGTAAAAATTAAACCTGAGGAATTTGCTTTTACTGGGAAAGGACAATTTGACCTGATTAGTTGGTCAGTCTTAAGAGTTCAACACAAATGCAGTTATATTACTTTCAAACACACACAGTATTACCGCCACTAGAGCTACCCATGTAGTTCCTTTTCTATCATATTTGCATGCAAATCGGTTAATAATATGATCTGGGGGATGCTTACAATTTTACTGGTGTTAGTGAAAAGGAAACAGATTTCCCTTGTTTCTGTTGTCAGTTTGCTTCAGAAATGCTCTTCATGGTAAATAATGGATGCTTCAGTACAGTACATCAAAGATAAAAAATTATAAAATAGATTCATATCAATGAGTTTTTACTGTATTTCTATAGTTTATGAATCATCCTTGTAACTCATTTCTTTGTAGTTTATTAATGAAAAGTTACTCCCCACATAATACATCGGAATGTCAAACATTCTGAATACAAGATGTCAGTTTTGAAATGTTCTAAGGTAAAATAGCACTTCGAGATGTATCTCCATTAGTATATCTCAAGATGTATTAAAATCTACTTGGCCAATTTATGGAGATAACATATGCAAACAAATATATGTATAAACAATACATTTATAGATTTTACCAATCACAGATGCAATAAAATACTTGTAAAACTTCAGCAAAAGTTCCTATTTTTACAAAGGATTTTCAGAACAGCATATGGTCCTTAATTTCTACTTTGTTTCCTTTTGGTATTACCCAATAACTCTTTCCAAAACACTTATTAGTAATCAAATATTCTAGGCAACAATATTTTCCAAAATAATTTCCCTAAGACAACAATGTATTCCAAAATAATTTCCCTTCTCTTTCTGCATTTGTAAAGAAAAAAAGTGAACTTCCAAAACACTCATCGGTACTTAAACTTTGAGTACCTAGGTTTTTTCATCCATACAATGGAAACTTAAACTTACTTTGATTTTTTAAATCAAGGAAAATTGTGAAAAAGGTGACTTTAAAAGAAACCATTCTTCCTCTCCCCTTATTTTATTTAAAACGGACTTTACAAGCGTTAGCCTTTACTTGTACATCTTGAACTTTGTTTGGAAATCAGATTTAGATCAAATCCCAAAAAAAACCATCACTGAATTATTTTAAACACAATGGATGAGTCACTGATTAATTTTCTTTAAAGACATCACTAATACACTCTTGCTTTCTAGGCCTCACAAGCATGTTAAGACTACTAAGAGCTATATTTAGATAACCAGCCAAACACACAACAGAGAAATTATTTCCATCAGAAGGCTTTATCCAGCCTTTTGAGAGAATGAAGGCCAATCGCTTTCTTTCTACTGTAATTCTAAACACCCACATCTGCAGGTGTCAGTTTTATCACTTTCCAATGTGGTATGTCATGCATGAAACAAACATATTTTTTAATGTTTGTATAACTATTCCTTAGAAAATTTTTAAAATAAATAAGCTCCATGTCTTTTTAGGTTGGGATGCAAAACATGAAATCTGTTTTGCTTCTGAACACCAAAACCTACCTTCAAATTGCCAAAGATTAAAAACCTGCTATTAATATGGTAGTATAAACTACCATATCTTCAAGGATTCCAATGTTAAAGGGTAGTTAATAATAGCAACAACATTGTTGGGACATTTAGCACAGGGTCAAAGACCAAAAAAGATTCTATGCTACTGATAAACCAGAAACCCAATCTTTAATACCTCTTATTGACAGTGTTGAAAGAATTCCTACAGAATTCTTGTAGAACTTAATCCAGTATCGTTTTACCTCTACTCTGTCTATCCTAGAAATCTAATACGTTCACATGATTCTGCAACCACTCAACAAGAGAATGAATGATGACTAGGCTAAATGTTAGCGCTAATTAACAATCTGAAATTAACCTTGACCAGAAGAAACACTAGTGAAATACTAAATTTACTAGTAAATACTAGCTTTTTAAAAGAATGTCCAACCACCATGGTACCTAATGTATTTTGTCATATGGCTGTAACATTGAGACAACATATATCATTAAATTTGATCACTTAGGTAATACTAATAAATTACTATTACTCTTAATTTTGGATCATACATGTAGCTTACATGCACACATATATCTGTCCCAGTAACACATCATTCGGGAGAAGAGCTGGCATAGTCCCAGGCTTTCCTCTAAATTCTCTTACTTTACCATGCATCAGAATCACTTGGGGAGGCCTTTGTTAGCAGACTGCTCATTCCCACCCCATAGTTTCTGATTCTCTAAGTCTGTGAAGGGGCGCAAGAATTTGCATTTCTAACGAATACCCAGATGACGCTGACGGTCCAGGGACCACACTTTGGGAACCACTACTCTAAGTGAACTGTGATTCTCAGAAGCTACAGAAAGAGAGGAGAGAGAGAGAGACAGAGACAGAGACAGAGAGAGAGAGAGAGAGGGAGAGGGAGGGAGAGAGATAGGGTGGTGGGCACGGGGGGCATTGAGATTAAGCTAATAGGCAGTTCTGGGGAAAAAGGCAGAGGAGAAAAGTGAATTCAGATATTTCCCTCCTTCCTAATACCTGCCCTTTATCTTGCTGGTTAGCAAAGACTAAAGTATCAACAAAGGCTTCTCAAATGACAACTTACTTGGCCAAAACACAAACCTTTTCATGCTTAAAAGGTTAGATAGATTGTTCCCATTAAAAGTTTTAGAAAAATATTGCCAGAAACTCTTCAGCCTTTCAATACCCCTAGGTGGGACTACTTTCAAGAAGACACTGAAGAGGCAGAGAAAGCTAACTGATGAGTTTTCTATATTAAAAAAAAAGTTAATGTTCACCAGTAAAACATGGGTGAGCAATGACAATCAACAAGCAACTCCTGCAACATGCAGAAAATCCCCACTACAGAAACAATATGACTATGTTTGGAATTTGTCAAGCAAGGATTAAAATTTTATTTAAATATAAGTTTTTTCTTTTTAAGTTACTGAGCCATATAAATGAAAATATTAATTTTATTAGAATTTGAACAAATGCTGGACAAAGAAAACATTTTAACAAAATAGTATGGTGGCATAAACAAAAAAGAAAACAGCCAAAGACGTGTAAAAGAAATAAAAGGTAGAAAATGTTAAATATCTCATGATCCAGTGTGGAAACATGGAGTCTAAACTTAAAAAACAAGGATTTTAAAAAAGCACAACCATCAAACAAAAAGTTAATGTTTGTGCTATCCTAACCAGACACATTCTTCAGCAAAACTTTAAAAGGCGGAGTTATATTTTACAGTATTTGATATCTTATTTCTGACTTTTTCACAGAAAGAGACTTTATGTAATTCAAATCTCACAGTTGAAATAGTTGGTTTAAGCACTAAGAAATAAATATTCTTCTAATTAAAATGACAGGTGAGGCAAAACAATTGATTAGTCTTTAACGCTGTACTTTTCAACTGTAATGAGGCCTTGATCCAACCAAAACAAGTCTTAAAGCAATTCAGAATTCTTTTGTAATGCCCAAGGAACGGCTCTGCCCTGCCCGATTGCCATACAGGGGAATCAAGAACCTAGTTAATAGAGCATTCTCAGGGACAAATGTAGGAAGAGAAGACAAAATAGTTTTGAAGTTTTTTTAGCAAAGTAACTTGTAACCATTTCAGACTACCAAATGCCACAAGTTACCTAAATTATTTAAGTACAAGTCTCCATCTTTGCAATTTATTTCTTAATACTGATATATTCATTTTTCTAAACTGACCATATCAGGTTAATAACAGTATAAATCAATTTGAAAACTATAATAAAATACCTAAAGAATAGGTCTTTGAATATCTTTCTGTTATATTTTGGTTTTACACAAAGATGCAATTCTTACTTTTTTGGTAGAGAAGTCTATGGAATATTAACCTGCAAATGTTTTAAAGAGACTGTCAACCAAGACAGGTTTCTGCATTTCATGATTGTCATCTTACAAAGATAGCAAATGTCACATTTTAAAATGTCTTAAAACAACATAATTGTGATTTTTATAAACATCAAAAGGCAAAAATTTTAAACACTTGTGATAAAAAGTTAAGCCCTTTGCATTCTGAGTATCTGAAATTTATTCACGGAATATGCCCAATTCAAACTTAAGATGAGGTATACAGTCATCTCTCAGTATCTGCAGAAGACTGGTTCCAGGACTCCGCTACGGTCCCAAAAGTCACAGATGTTCAAGTCCCTTACATAAAATGGCATAGTATTTGCACATAACCTACGCATACTTCCCATATACTGGAAATCATCTCTAGATTATTTACAGTACCTAATGCAATATAAATGCTATGTAAGTAATTGTAAATATAATGTAAGTGCCATATAAATAGTTGAAGATGAGTGGCAAATTCAAGTTTTGCTTTTTGAAATTTCATGGAATTTTTTTTTCAAATATTTTCCATCCTTTGGTTGAATCCATGGATTTGGAACCTGCAGATATGAAAGGCCAACTGTATTTTCTTCTCTCCAAGTATCAAATACCTAGCAAATATATAATACCATATACAGTTTCAAATTAAAGTAAATTCACAGGGTTCTTTTGTTGATTTTGCTTTAACCTGTCACATAACACACTGCCATGAGTCTCTGGATGTGGCATTTAACCAAAAAAAGCTGCATATGGTCAACTCTCTGTATGAGAGTTGTAAATATGTAAGGTGAAAACATTTTTGTGGACTATTTTTAAAACATGATAAATGGCATTATCAACATTACTCATGATTTTAAATATTATGTATATATTAGAGATCATCTATATTATCAACAATTATGTAAGGGGAGAACTAGAAAAAACTTTATAATGGTCTTATGCAGTGTTTAAGCAATTGAATGTTTTCTGAATCTGAAAAGCCTATGATGTAAAAATTAGAATCAAAGTTTTGATTTTTGAATGCATAGGTTATAACCCATGGAAAATGAGGAATAAATTGTTTGGTCAGGATCTTGTTATTTAAGAAGCAAAATATGTAAGAACCAAAATATGCACACCACTAAAAATACTAATTCTGAAAATTATGTAGCTAAAAACTAAATCACCCTGTCCAGCAAGTTCCAAAAAATTCACACATTTCAAACATTAAGGCAAATTTTTTCCAACTAAACAGTACTTTATAAAAATATAGGTCACTTCAAAACATTATATACATAGTGACAATGAATTTAGCTAGCTGTAATCTTTAATACATTAATAAAGTGTCACATATTACCAAGAAATTATACTAGGTGCTTGCATGTATGTGCAAGTGGAATTATAGTACTTAAAGTACAGGTTTTAAAACTGAGCGAAGTGAACGTCCTTCTTTAGTGAGTTCTCGTGTCACACACATACACGGCAATGGGATTGCTTCCTCCCGTTTCTCTACAATATTGTAACTGCATTTCTTCAAGTGGTCAGCCATGCTTAGGATGTCGGCAAATTTCCATTCGTTGACAGAACAAAATGCAGTACTGAATCGCCATACCTAGAAGAAAATTCTACTTCAGATTTAAACAAGTCAATTTACAAGAATCAAAACATAATTCTTGCTCTAACTGCATACATTTCTAACTGTTAAGAGAAATATCTAATATAAAGTTTCAAGTAGTTAGCTACAAAACTGGAAGCAGTAATCCATTTGGATACAAATCTGTTTATCAAATATTTGTAAGATAAATCATTCCTATGACATTATAACTTCAGTAAATATAACAACCAAAAAGAAAACAAAAGACGAAGCTCAACATTGAAAATCACATCCAACCTGGCTTTTACTTATTAAGCAATTTTTATAAAATATTCAGAGCTACTTCCTAAAATAACGCATATTGTACACCAGTCTTTCATCCTATCCAAATGTCTCTCTCTCTCTCTCTCTCTACATATATATATATAGACCTATCCATAGTCTGGAGATATTGACAATACAAGTGTTATCTTCTTCTCCAAGTTTTTCTCCCATTCCTGTTACACCATATGAAGTATACTAAAAAATACCCTAGAATATTTTGTGCCAAGCTACTTTTTCTTCTCATTATGTATAAGCAGTAAACGCACTTAGTAATAGCGAGGAACACAAATGCTTCAATTTGTTCAACGTGTTTCTGGAAATTTTTATAGAGCTTTTTGTAAAATGAATCATTTTTTAATTCCATATCATTGTAAAATACATTTCTGGGAAAAATATTTATATGCCATCCCTGTTTTGGTAAAAATAAGAACTACTTTCCCTTTTGCCCACTCAGCAGCTCCAAGCCCTGAAGCACTGTCACCTTACATACAGGTCCAGCAATGGCTGTTGTGGCCCCCTCTCATCTTTACAGTTTGAAAATATAAAGTTACCTGAACATAGGTAACAAGCAAGACAGGCCTAGGCATCCTAGCTAAGCTAATCAACAAGCAAATGTCTAGAGAACACTGAACCCGTGGCAAACAGCAGATACTCTAGAAAGTAGCTGTGAATTTGAGAGAAGCCCTCAGCACTCATTAGAGCGTCTCAGAAAAGAATGCTATGAATTCTGGGGTGGCCAGATGCCTTCAAATTCTGAACACAATTATTTTTCAGCCAGCAGTAGAATAGTTCAGCACATAAGGTACTTAATCGCTGTACTTCTTAAGTTGATAGCAATTACCCTGCATGGAGTCATTTCCCAGATGTCAGTGAAGGCCTGGACAGTAGCTAACAATAGACATTTTAGATTACAATTCCCCATAACCACAAAACTATACTAAGAATTAGGAGTTTTTGTTAAGCTTCACAGAATGAATTTGCTGAAAGATTCAATGGTGGCAGACAGTTTCCCTACTTCCACACAGTCAAGAGTCTGGTGAAACAAACTCAGGAAAAAATGGACAGCTCCCATCTCCTGATGACAAGGTTTCTTAGTCATGGGCCAATTTTGCATCCAAGCATACATCAAGTATTTACTTAGTGCCTGCTATACGGGAGGTGCTATGCTAAGCAGTTAATATTTTGGTTCCCAGAGAGTCTCACTTCTCAATGAACTTACAGTCTAATGAAAGAAACTGACAATTCGTCAGTGAATTTCCAAACAGCATGGTCAGTGCTTCAGTATGGGTACATAGAGTAGGAGGTACATAATAGAACACCAGGAGAACACAGAGCAGTGCACCTCCCTAAGGGCTTCAACGGGGTCGGAGTAGGCTTTCTTGACAAAGTAAGATCTGAAGAGTAAGCAGGATATAGCAATGAGATAATGATCAATCTGCAGAAATAGGTTCCCAGGGTCTGAATCCACCAACTGGACAAGTTACTTAACCTCTCTAAACCACAGTTTCTTCATCCATGAAATAGGGACAGTAGATTAAATACATTAACGGAAGTAAAGTACACACTGCCTAGAACATCTCAAGTGTTCAAATGTAGGCATCAGGGACAGTGTATTCAAACACCTTAAGGCAAGAAGAAAACATCAGACAACTCTAAGTAAATTCCATGGCTGGAATATAAAGTGACAAAAGGAAACTGAAGAGGTAAGTGAGGACAAGATTATGAAAAGTCTTAAATGTTTCATTAAGGAGTCTGCCTCTACCCCAGGGCAATGAACGGACATTTAAAAAGTTTTCAAGCACTACAGCGTAAGAACTGTATTTAAGAAATTATTTATTACTCTACCTCTTCTATAGAGAATATGTTGGAGAGGGACTCAGTTGGAAACAGAAACCCAGTAAGGAAGAGGCTACTGTAGTAACCCAGGAGAGAACTACAGGCGGGACTAACTAGGGAAACCGCAGTAGAAACAGTAAGCAAACCTGAGAGGTTATGAAGAAGGGGAGACAACAGGACTTTGTGATTACCTGGATATGGAAATAAAGCGGGCGGGGGGAAGGGGTCAACCTTAACTCCCAAATTCCTAGTTTAGGCAGCTTCAGAGATGAAAATGCCATTTTCTGAGATTAAGAGGGGTAGAAAAGTGGAGTAGGTTGGACCTGTTGAGTTCGCTGAAGCTGTGACATAATCAAGTGCAGATGTCCAGTAGATGCTTGTATATAATGGACTGGAGTTCAGAGGAGAAAATGGCCAGGATATACACACGTAATCTGAATAAATGATGGCAATTTAAACTCCAAGAGTAGATGAGGTTTTCTGCAGCAATAAAATCCCCAGAAAATATTTTACCTCATAGGTCAATACTAGTGGAGGCAAGGACAAAAACGGGCCATGCTCTGAGTGTCTCATCCCAAACGGCAGAAGGACGCCAAATCATGTAGAAAATGAAAATACACACATACCCACATATATGCAGCAAGTGTGAAATTTTCTACATAAAATAATTAGCGTGCTCATTTACTGGTCAAAGCTTCAGGAGAACACAAAAGCAGATGCAGAATTCTGAAAAACTGGAGCAATGAGTGAAAATAAGAGAAAACCTAAGGGTGGTAAAAACGAAGTAGCCAGAAATGTGAACCCTGTTCAACCAATGTGAAGTTTATCAAATTTTTTTCTACTTTATAAAATCAAAGTTTCATATTATAAATGTTCTAAAATGAAAAAACACCTTCAATCAAAGGTATTTGTAATGCCTTCTAGTTTCTATTGGATAGTACCTCAAACAGAAGCTGGGCAAAAGTAAGATATCACAGGAGGAAAATGGTGGAGCCAGGATTTGTTCCCAATCTCCAGCTCAAGCTTCCAATCTGCACTGTACTAAACGCAGAGTCAACAATATCAAATCCTACTGCCCTTATCTCACCTCAGCCTAACACATTTCCACATCCATCCATTTATATTCTCTATACCCCAGATACTCCATTGGTCACTTACTAGGAGCAGATTTTTTTTCATGTCTCCTTATTTAAGTTCTCCCTGTAATAACCAAGTTCTAAGAAAGAAATTGCTAAGAATGGACCAAAACTGCCAATTGCAAGCAGTAAAAAACCTTCTCCTTGCTTCCTCCATTGTCCTATGGTGAAAATGTTTCAGATGGACCCCAAATTAGAAGGTGGCTAACATGGACTCAAGCAAAGGGAGCTATTACAGAAGAAGTAACTAGGTACAGAACCCCTCAGCTGAAGAACTGGAAGTGGCCTCTGTCGTATGACATCAGAATCTAGTTCCAGGATGTCTGCAGTAAATATGTGATTATGACTAACAATTCTAACTATTCTTGCTTTCATTATTATTACAAAAAAGTTTGTCATCATACTGAATTATTAAGTTTTAAGGATGGTCAATTTTGCAACAAGGTTCATTTTATTAATTCAGCAACAACATTATTAAGTGCCTATTATACGTCAAATAAGGGACTGATAGAATTAAATTAAACCAACCTTTTCTTTTATCTGCCATGATGAACTTCCTTCTGGATACTTCCTTTTCCCCCACTGCAGTACGACCATTCCACGAGACTGAAGAAGACTGCCACACACATCCCTCATTAGCTTGGATACACATGAGAGCTGGCATAAACTGAAGCCATCAAGAAAGCCTGCGATATGTTGCAGGACTTCAAAAGGAAGACCACTTAGATGGTCACTATGTAATCCCAACACACAGTTTCTAGCAGGCTCCACTAACACTGTAGATACAGATGGCTGAACTCCAAATGACCTCAAATGGCGGTCATGTATAATCTTTGCTCCTTGTGTTGATGGACAAAATCTACGCTGAGAATAGGTACAACCATAATATGCTAAGGGGCACCTCTGTTCCATCCAGCCATTGAGTCCAGCATGAATGTCACCATGCACATTCTTAAAATGCGATGAAAATTCTTTTCTTCTAAATAACTGTCCACAAACAAATGTAAACATTGGACGCTGCTTGGGTTGGTACCTAGCAACACATTCCAATACTAAATCCAGCCCAAGTGTCTGAAAAGGACTTGGATTTGAAAGCTGTGGGTTGGCATGATCACAAGCTGAAGCTGAAGCTATTTCCCCAACCATTGTATTTGTAGCTAATATGGCAGACGGAAGTGAAAAAGTCTGAGTCCCAAAGTCGATGTGATAAACATCAACCATGCGACTATCAGATATACCCCTCCCACCTGGAGAATCTCCTAGACAAAACAGTAATGCTGCTGTGATTAGATCTATTCCTTGGAGACCCATTGGATCTTCTGCAACTTCCAAATCTGATGTATCTACTGCTTTATCTTCCTTTGGTTTAGACCAACATGAATTAGAAAGAAATTTGAATGAAGGAGGATGACTGAAAGATAAGACATCCACATTCCTTAGGTCCCCTAAGTCTACTTTTTTCCAACACAAGTCTTCATCATCATCTGGCATGAGGATATGCTGAACTGTGCCATTAGGCAAAGCATTAGATGGTATTACTTCCCTAACTTGTGCTGCTACTGAAAGTGAACTAGAAGGTTCTGAAGGGCCATCTGATGCTACACATTCTCTATTTGTTAAGTTACTTTGTTTTGAGTCACTGTGTAAATTCTGATTCTGCTCAACGACCTGTGTACATATATTTTCCAAAGGAAAGCCATTACAAAGAGCAGAAGTGCCATAAGAACTGGCATCCAAGTCACATAATAAATCACTTGAACCATTTTGTTCAGACTGGGCATTCTGACTTGTGTCATTATGGTCAATCCCACCTACTGCTCCTATCTCATCCTCACAAAGATGGTCCTGGTCTTTCAAGTTTCTGTTCTGTAAGCTTTCTCTGGCATTTTCTTCTTCTTTCATTTCCTTTGGGGAAGCACAAAGACTTGTACTTAACATGCCAACGTCTCTTGTGGCGGTATTCAGGATATCTAAAGCAACAGCCAAACTTCTGGTTGTTTCAACAGTAGCTTGATAAAGTGCACCATAAGAGTCTTCATCAACAGACACCAAACCATTAGTATGTGGTATTTCTGGGACACTTGATTTAACTGAGATCTGTTCTCTAGGTTCTGATATTTTATCAGTTGCTTTTGACATCATGGTGGCTACTTTGAGAGACTCTAAGAGCATCCTTTGGTCTTGAAGGGCCAAGGCCATATCTAATTGTGCCACTTCATCAACATCTCTGCTTAGATTTTCATATGATTTCCGGTCTGCGTAACTAACTGGCCATCGGTTCCACTCCATAGTACAGCACACCACACTTGCAGGACACATTTCTAGATGTTCGGCAACTTTATTTCGAGCCATTGTAAACGGACATCCAAAGTCACTATTTAAGCAAGGCACTCGTTCCAATGGACATAAAAGTCGATGCTCATCAGCTTTACAAGAATGGAAAACTGCTCCACAAACCAATGGACAACCTATCAAGTCACAGGAAATCCCAGGCTCTGGTCTGGTCATACACCGTCTACTGACACAATTCACGCAGTGAGAGTGCTGCAGCCCCTCCTCCATAATGGCCAGTCCAGCTCTAGTTACTGAGATGGAAAAGAAAGAAGAAGTTAGGCAAAAAGTGGTTGCTTTTTAAAAATTGTTTTAAGGAAAAACATCAAATCATGAAGGTTTATTGGCTTATATGAGGATGAAATATATAAAATAAACATTTAACAAGTTTATTTGACATATAATCAATCCATCTTGAAACAGCTTAAGCACTTTAATTCAAGAAGCAAGTCAAAAGTTCATTTTTATATACCATATAACAATCTGCCCAACAGGCCAAACATTTCAAAATATAATACTTAAATTCTAGTATATTGTGTAGTATATAAATTAATGCCAAAAACCAGTTAATGAATATGTAACTTTTAGATTTCAGAGAATGCTTCAGCTTTTACCATTTTAACTAAACTGATTATGATGTACCCCACATTGCAGAGACCTCATCATATTCCTAAAAGAGAATAATCTGAATTTCATGAATATACTTAACTAAAACCTGATTAGATGTTTTCTTTAATAATCCCTCCAAATACATAAATTCATGTAAGATTTCATCTACTGACCTCTCTTTCTACAACAAATAAAGAGAGTAAGGCTTAATTAAAACAAAGAGGGCATTTATCCAAAAAATATAAGTTCTAGCTCCACTTCTGTGGCAGTGGACGAATCACTTACTTCTGAGGGCCACAGTTTCCATTCATTCAGTCAACACCTATTTATTGTTTAACTGCCATGTACCAGACTCTGTGTTTGGTAGGGCAACGTGAAGATTAGAAGACATGGTGCCTCCTCTCAAGGAGCTTCAGCAGGAGGTCAGAGATGAAAGTAAAATCATGTCACATTTTTATATGATCAATAGATGAAAGTAAATCATGTCACATTTTTATATGATCAATATGACAGAGAAAGTCAGTATGGGTGGAGGGTAGAGAAGAATTCACAGTAGTCTTGAAAGATGAGAAGTCTTAAGCACAGGAGGATAGGGTTAGAAAGGAAGAGAGGCATTCAATGCTGAAGTAACAGCATATGCAAATACAGAAAAGCAAGAATTCGCAAAACATGTTGAGGGAACCTCAAGTTTCCCAGTATTGCTGGATCACAAGGTGAAATGCAAAGTAGCTGTGAGAGATGAGGTGGGACAGGAATAAGAAAAGTTATGGAAAGTGTGTTATATGCTACTCTAAGGAGTTCAGACTTTTAAGTAGTTAGAAACTACTGAGGATTTTAAGGAGAGAAATAGTACCCACAAAATAACATGAGAGGGTTACAGATAACTAATGTTCTTTCCTGCTTTTAGCAAGAAAAATTTTATACGAAAAAAGAGACAGTATTGGCACAATGCACTGATTTACTTATAATTACTTAGCCTATTCAATGTCTTATTTCTATAATCTTCAACTTCTTTATTGGCTTGTTCCTATTAGCAGCAAAAACTTAAAAGACTATTTCATCTTTAAAAACATATATAATAAAGCAATATCCCCCTTTTGCTGTTTATTTTTTCCTTTTCAGTCAAGCTTTCAAAAGAAAAACAACAAACCAACCCCGTTAACTTCCCATATACTCTTCAGCCCTCTAATGTGTGTTTCCTTTTTTTTTTTTTTTTTTTTTTTTTTTTT